TTATTGCTGCTTCTTGCGTATTTTACAATTAGTTGTACATTTTCATTTCATTTTTCGATACAAATAATTTGTTTGTCCATTCCAGAACGGCGATACTGCTTTGCACATAGCAGCAGCGATGGGTCGACGGAAATTGACGCGCATTCTCCTAGAAGCTGGCTGCGATCGAAGTCTACGGAATAAACAAGGTGAAACGGCAAAGGATATTGCTCGTCGTAAGAATCATACCGAAATCTTAGAAATTATTGCTAAGGCACGCGGTAAAAGCCGAACGCGCAGCAAAAGCCGTGAGAGAGACTTGGTAGATGGCAAAATAGATGACGGTAAGAATCTAGTCTAATTGAAAATTGGCTAGATAATTAAATAGATTAATTTGTTAATGATTTTACGCTATAAAAAACTGTGGTATTGCCTATGCGTGAATGTTGTATTATTATGTTGCATATTATTATTTTGTAAAGAATTATCGGTTCGCAACAAGTAATTTGAAATTAACAACTAACTATTAGAAAATATCTGATTAATTGAATAATTTTATCAGGTAAAACAACGAAGTCAGATAAAAAACGAGAAAAAACCGAAAGTGGTACTAGTGGTGGCGGCAGCTCGAAAAAAGACCGAAAGAAGTATAAGTCCAACAGCAAGCAGCACAAAGTCCGCTTTGAAAAAGCTATCATGGGTCGACAATGGTCACCCTATGGCTGCCACTATTATCCAGACCCGGAAGCATTCCCTCAACCCCGTCTAGATTCATTACCCTCTGACCCCTTAGGGCGAGGTGAACAGTATTACTTAGACTTGGCGGGTAATATCAGAAAGGGTCCGGTAGGTGTCGGATATACATGCTATTGCGCGCCATTCTTCCGACATATGGAAGCAAAGTTGGAGCGAGACAAGGCTGAATTGAAAGCACACATTGATCAGGCTCACGAGAAGCTGGACCTAAAAGTGGCCAATCTGGAAAGAAGGACCAGAGGACAGATCTCAGAACTGACTAGGTGCGTTCAAGAGGAACGTTCTAGGTGCGACGAAAGGTATTCGCATCTTCAGCAACGTTTACAACGAGGTGGTAGAGGCAGATATAGCGAGAGGCCAGCGAAAACTAATTACAATCAGTCGGAAGTGATATTACCAACGAGAACGAGATCATTGGAGGATCTATTGGATGATCGACCGCAGGATCGTAGCTTTGAGATTCCCGGAGAAACACCAGTTCATCGTGGAAGTCTAGATGATCTTGATATACCGGCTATACCTAGACTTAGTACGTCTATGAGGGATCTACCTTCGGGACCTGGAATAGTCAAATCGGCGCTCAGAGTGCTGGACATTCCTCCGAAATTGAACGAAACGTTCGATGGAGCCATTAGGCCGGATGGAACTTTGTCCTTAGACATGGCCCCGACAGATTCAGTTCCTGTGAAGGGGAGACGTCAGCAAAGAGTAAGATTGAACTATATTATCATCTGCCTACTGTAATAATAATCATTTTTTCATAAAATAAATAATAAAACAGTAATTGAATGTTATTTGCAGATATTTAAATTGGAATTTAATAATTATTTATTGTTTTTACTGTTTATGATAGAATTTAATAAGCTGCTTGTCAGCTTTGAGTAGAAAATTGCGGCAAGATTGACATTAGCTGCATTTTAGCTTGTAGAATAGAATCTGCGGTTTTTGCAGTCAATTTTTGTCATTATATTCTCTAAATTAAATTACATAATTATATCAATATAATGTATTAATGTATCATAACTTTTAAATATTTTTTATGATATACTGCTGATAAGAATTATAATCAGACACTTTGCAAAATCTGTTTTCGATAACAAATATTTGATTGTTTGATAGAGCATCAATTTGTTAATGTAACAAAAGATTTTCGGATAATAAAAATCTCTTTTTTATAGCATAATTTTGTCATATATGCATATTTAAACAATATTTTTTAATCATGTTAATATAATATAGAACTCAAAAAATAAATGTTTATCTAAATATGTTTTAAGAATTGCGTGTCGTATGACATGCACGTCATGAACATGTCCATGGATGAAAATAAGATTCAGAAGATTAGCGACGGGAATATGACGGAGTGGAATGGTCGCCGTAGCGTTCATGAGATGATCAAGCGGTTTCAGCAAGTACCTGATATGCATAATGGTTGGCGAAGAATTCGCTCCGGAGGCAGTGAACAGGCCAGTCTAGAAGAACATACCAAGTGCTCACAAAATCAGAGGGTACATTCTCAAGGTGAAGTAATTCCTGAATAATAAAATATGCTGCCAGACACGCATATTCAAAATTGGAACATGAGACGGATGTTTTATGCGCTGATTTTGGGCATGCGTGTACACAGAAAAATATCATTCTATTGCTAAAAATATGATAATTAATTTTTTTCTTTTAAGTAACATTTATTTTTAGCACACAATATTTTCTTGATAATAATCTTAAATTATACTTACTACAACTTCATTATTACTTCTATTGAAAAAATACGTCATAAAATTACATAACAAAATTGTCGTGTAATTTAGACAAATCGTATGGATTGTTCAAAATCATTATATGACTTTTTATAATTACGTAATTTGAAAAGTCACATAATAATATTTTTGTCTTCTACTTTTATCATTTAATTCTTTAAAATTCGGTAATTATATTGTAAAATCACACGATAGATGAAATTATTTCTAATATCGTGTAATTTTTCAAGTTATGTAATTTTAAACAATCACGTACTGATTTGGAACAATTCGTCTTAATTACATAATTTTATTAAGTACCTTTGTGACGTGATTTTTTTAAGTAGAGATTTATTCAAAACAAGAATTTTTCTTTAAAGAACAAAATTGATTGAAGAAGCGATTTTATATAACAGTAAATCGAATTTGTCAACTTAACAATACTGATTAGGATTATTGAACTTCCTAGGATTTAGAATATATTTTGAATAAATTTGATGTTTGTAATGAACTTACGATGAATTTGTGGATATAAACTTTTGAAATATGTGAAACAAGTAATTGTGTGTGTGTGTGTTATTTACGTATGCATCTTTCTGTATGCGCTGTCTGGGTTGGAGTTAACAAAAGTCGTTATTGAGATTTAATAATCTCGAAATTTGGTTACTTACGCAAAGAAATATGGCCTCGACAAAATCATCATAACATCTCATATACAGCCTTAGCTAAAAATATTAAACACCTTATTAGCTATTATTTAAAGTTTTAGCATTAAAAATTAATTGATGGCATTTGTGTTGTAAATTATTCTTTGTTTTAAGAATCTTTACATTTACGTATATGTAATTTAAATCCTAATTGACAATTAATGTCGCAGAGAACGAAAGCGAGAGCAGCGAAGGAGAAGATGACGATGTGGAACAATCTAAAACATATAAGGAGATGAATTGTAGAAAGGGTATCTCCAAAGATGTGCCTTATGACAGTATTGCGAGAATGCCGTACAGGTCACGTAATCCCGTGTACAGTCCAACACCGCCTCTACATGATACTCATAATGATTCTGGATACAGTACCCGCATGTATGGCTCCAGCAAAGGCGCATCGCCTTCGTTATCGGGTAAATATAAAAAAAGATGCAACATTAGAGAGGATAAGCAATTAATAATAAAGCTATTCAATATTTATCATACATTTATTTAATAAATTGATTAAATCCGAACTTTGAGAGTTCTTCGATTAATATATTGTTTTATTAAAATCTTAAAAATTAATTAGATTTGCCATTATAAACTGATATATTAGAAACAGAATATAAAGTATTATTTCATTTTTGCGCAGGTCAGCTAGAATGCGACGTGATTTTATCACCTTCGACTGGATCATTTACAAGCGGAGAACAGCTCGCTGCTTTATTGGAACAGCCAAGGAGACATGATCTCACAGTTTACGAGCGAAATGCTGACAACGTTGTCATTAACATCGGTACTGCCAGTTTGGTTTAGCATAAAGACATTTTAGCTTCAATCGATAAAAATATAACTTTTAAAATATAGTTGCATGTGCATTGTACATACTATATACATAATGTCATTTGATCTAGAAATGTTGAAGTAATGATTGTTTTATTATGTTAATATCGTCACTATAAAGTGTCATATTCGTTGCCATGACATTACTCCATAAAAAATAAAAATAAACTTTAAACAAAGACAATAATATTTTATTTATTGTTTGTATATTATATATCAAATTGTATATGTATATAGGTAGATATGTATGAGCAAATATTAAAATTGCAAAAACAATGTAGCTTGATTGTTGCTACAGGACGTACTCTTCAAATTCTGTAAGTTTTATTAAAATCATTACACACATACTGTAAATAATAATAAAAGAATTATAAATTTTAATTATTGTGATGTATAAACAACATTTTTTAATAATAAAACAAATTCAATTATTATCTTGGAATATTCAGTTACCACAGTTAATCAGTAATATCACAAATAAGAATTAAAACAAAAGTGTTTGTTTATTGTAGTAAATATACAGCGTTTAATAAAATAGATTACCGATATTCATGCTATAAATATTTAAATATAAATATATATAAATATTAAAAAATGTTTATAAATACTTATAGTAATTACATTTTATAAACACTATGATAATTTAAGTATAAAAATTTATTAATAATATTTACAATTTTGTCCATATATTGTGTATCATAAATGTATACAAAAAAATTACGAAATTTACTATTATACTTTTATAATACATTTTTTTTTAGTAATGTATTATCAACCTTAGAAGAAATTTTTTTTGGCAGAAATAACATTTTCATGATAAACAATAATTTTTTTTATATTTGTTATAAAAGAATTAAATAACGGACCTTTTGGTTCGTAATTTAATTTTTTAACCAAGGTAAGTGGTTTTTTACAATCCAAAAGTACAATAAATAAACATTTTCAACAAGAAAATATTGGACATATTATAGATTATTTTATCACTAATCGCCCACAGCTAATTATTATCAAACTTCTGAAATAGCTCTATTATACGATCGTACACTAGAGTTTTAGCATCAATGGCAATTAGAAAATCTATGTGATTAAATAATTTATGTGAAATTTCTTCTAGCAGGATAACATTTGGCAAGTACTTATATGTCTCGAGTACATTCTGAAAATAAAATATTGAAGATGATAGAATTAGCATCATAAGAATATTGAAATATAAGCAATTATTTCTTAAAACAATTATTTAATAACCAATAATAATTTAACTGGGACCGCCATGAAATTACAAAGGTAAGGAAAGGATCAATATGATCGAAATTATATACCTAATATAATATTTTAATATAAAAATTATAAATTGATTGTCGATTTGATAATAATGAAATAATAATAAAATATTTTTTGAATATTTTTTTTTTCTATTTTTATTTACAATTGTATAACCATATGAGTTGAAAAATGGGAAAAGAATGAGAAAGAAGGAAGAGAAGAAAAAAAGAAAAAGGAAACAATGGACAGTAAGAAAAAAAAATGAAAAAAAACATTCCATGTAATTACAAAAAAAATTATGCAACTCTATTTAAAAACTCAAGGTAATTTTAAATTATTTATTATAAGAAGAAATATTTTCAATTTTTATCCAATTATAGCTTGCATGAAATTAAAAAGGTTCTTGTATAAATATACTACATATGCATGTAGTATATTTATAAATATTCAATAAAATTATATTTTTTAATACATATTTTTATTATAAGATGTTTTTATATAAAATTTAAAAGTGCGATCTTACCACTTTTGGAGCAAGCACATCGTTAGCGGTGTAATACATAGCTAAAGGCACTGTCACTTTGCTAAGATTATATATTATAGGTGTTGTCTGTCCATATTGGATAACATTTTCTAAATGTCCATGATCGTAGCTTTGAAATTTCTCTGTAGAAAAAAATATTAAATGTCAACATAAATGTAAAATTTAATATAAAAGATTGGAAATCCTAATTTAGGTAATCACAAAATAACTATAATAATATAATCGTAAACAAACAGAAAAAAGCTAAAAATTTCACTGTTTCAAGAAATCGGTGAAGTTTTTATGTATGCATAGTCAGTTTTCTATGTTGAAGTAGCAAAGTTAATAACTGAATAACATTAGCAATTTGTTAAACTAACAAATTTTCTTAGTTAGTTATAGATGTTGAATTCGCGCAATAAGCTTTGCTGTACCATCTAATTAATTTTTTTTTCTGTGAACATATTAAAAGTATTTCTCCTGGAGAACTGTTAATATACGTTTTGCATATTTCTTACTTTTTAATTATAATGGTTTATATACTTTAAACGGTTAAAGAAAAAAAAATACTCACTTTTAACAAAATTTTGGTAATATTGATATATTAATTGTACGGATGCCCCTGCTGGGAAATGAGATAACATATGCGGAAATGCCGTCTGTAACGAATAATTTTATTAAAAACAATTAAGATTTATCATTAAAATAATATATGTATATAGAAACTATATTTTGAAATTTTTTTTAATATGTAAAAGTAGTGGCAATGTTGTAATTAGTAAAATTGAGATGAATTGATAATATACAGTATTCAGTTGTACTGGATCGGCTCCGAAAAGTAGAAACATTATTGCCACACAGATAGGTTGAGTAATTGCCTTATCTGTACACAATGTTCTTCCTATCGTAATTGTTGTTGATGATAAGGAAGCTATTTCATTTATTTCATTAAAATCCAAAAAATCCTAGTAAACAAATATAATCGTAAATATAAAAAACATAAACACACAAAAAAATATAATAAAAATAAAACAATGTTTATAATACGTATAATTTGGAAAAAATATATTTAAACAATTATGTATTAGCTTGTGAAATGTTCGTATAATCAAATAATAATCAAATAATAGGTCATATAATCAACATAATAAAATAGTGAAAGATAATACACAATTATTAAAACAAACAAAATATACATATAATACAAGAAATAATAATTAATATGTACGATGAAAATATTATAATTTTTTTATTAAACATTTCAATCTGAATTGAAATTCTTTTCTATAATTAATAATTATCTACAATATTTGCAATAAAATACTTAAAAGGCAACATTAAATATAAAAAAATATTTATAGTAAAACACATAATATTATAAAGAATGCAGATGTCTAATTTAATAATTTATTTCTTTTTATGCCTCTACACAACTTAATTAATTATGATCATATTAGCAATAAACAGTGTAATAAAATAATTTTGATAGTAAAAATTATTTTCTTATTAGGATAATTAATTCAAAATTTATGTGTAAAATATACTTATTATATTGTATTATACATATATTCTACATATAATACAATTTGGATGGCTCATTACAGTATTTACCTTAAAAAGCTTCGGTATATCGTATAAATTACGCAAAAATTCGAAAGGAGCAGGCATTTCTTTCGGTACACCGACTGGAGCAAGACAGATTCCCAATTTTATTTTTGCATTGTATTCGGGTCTTGTGGATAGTAAAGTGAATAATACGGTAGTTCCCATCGAATGACCGATGTAATGCAGAGTTTTTTGTTTTGTGTAATTAAGTACATAGTCGATCATAGCTGGCAGATCTCTTATTCCTACTTCGTGATAGCTAAACAACAATAATAAATTTTATTTCCTATCAATATTTTTTTAATACTGCAAAAATCATTGAATATTTGTTAAAAAATTTTTAATTAGTTTGATCAATTTTTCTGACCAAAGATATCAAAACATAATAAGTCTTTACATATTATAAATATATTATAAATATATTTTTTATTTAAAAAATTTATTTTAATTAGAATTTAAAAAAACTTTAAATTTGAATTTAAAAAATATAAAAAATAAGGAAACGTAAAGGTATTTAAACAACAAAAAATAATTAAAATTACAAAAAATAAAAAATAATAAGTAATATTTGTTTAAAATAACACTTGTAAATATTATATTAAAGTTTTACCCAAATCGCCAAAAGTTTCGATCTTGCGGAGATAATTTTATATGTGATCTGCAATAAGTATTTCCTCTGTAATTTCCAAGCCAAATATCATATCCTTCATCAGCCAATAAAAATGCTGGAATATATGATGATAATGTATTAGTTCTCTTATTATTATATTTTTGAATTATTAACTAGTCATTCGTCTAACAGAAAATTATCAAAATAAATGTATGTCTTATAAGACAAAGTGATTGAATCTTTATTAGACATTATGTCAATGACTATAGTTAATAATTATTTCTAATAACACATAATTTCTAATAAAATAATTAGACATAATTTCTAATAAAGGTTCAATCACTTTATTTTATAAGACATACATTTATTTTGATAATTTTCTATTAAATGAAATTTCATTCCGGTAAATATTATTTATATTCTCAAAATATACATACATTGTTATTCTGAAACATTTTGTTGTTTCATATGTATGTATAAACGGAATGCAAATACGGAATCTGTGCGTGAAATACAAATATACTATAGGATGCGGAATACGGAATTTGCTGAATGTCATATCCGCATTTCGTATACGGATTCCGTATTCTATATGCGAATTCCACATGCTACATTTGAATTTTTCTTGTCTTTCATAAATCGAATCATGAAATAGTGACATTTGATGTAGTTCAGCGTATAATGGCACAGTTGCTACTACCCCTATTAATTTTTTGTGAAATTAAAATACCAAAAGTTTTACTGATTATATGTATTGAATTACATATATTGAAGCTACAGAATGTCAACCTGCATTACCTATATTAAGAACAAATTGCAGTAGGTACTGTTAATTTTTTGGTTTTAATTTTTAGGAAACATTTTACGATTTTAATTAATATTTATTGAAAGAAATTAAGTATCTCTTAGCAGCGCGCGCGCCAAAAATAATAACTGTTTGGGCATAAAAGAAAACAGCACAAAATGTTCTCTTGTAAGTAGATCTATCTTTATATTCCCATTGAAATTTGTAGGAACTATTTTGTATTTATATTTATAATAAGAGATACTAATTATATATATATATTATATATAGAGAGTAAGCGTTATATATAGAGAGCACTCACCAAGGTTTTTGCCAGGACCAAATAACACCCAGGTATCAGATGAAGCGAGAAGACCATGTTGAAGGAATATAACCCCTTTTCTTTGTCGATCTTTAGATAAAGGACTTCCTGGTATTCTATGTATCACCAAGATGTAGTGATCTTTCGTTATAACATAATGTTCCTCAGCAGGGTAACCATATCTCTCTACCAAACCAATCTTTGTAAACACAAAATGTTAAAGAAAAATTCATTTTTTAGTAATTTTATGTATTTTAAGCGTAATATGTTTTTACGTTATAAATAATAAATAATTTATTTATTTATAAAAAACAATGTGTGTTATATTCAAAATTTTATACTGCATTGTGAAAACGAAAATTGTTTTCTATATAAATATAACTTTATTAATGTAACTTTTTTTATACAATTTAATGTATTTTTTTTTAGTATGTGTTTTTATAATAAAATAAGATATTAAAAGACAATCTTGTACTTACAAAATCTAACGTAGTTACATTTTTCACTGTTTCGACTTCTTCTAGCTTTCTTACTCTCACTATACCGGGATCTTTAGGAAATAGATACCTGATTATTGCTCTTGGAAAGAGTGCTAAGTCTTCCCAGAAAGTTTGTTTTGCTTCCAATAACACTACACTAAGCATGAGAATGAAGAAAATAAATTTCATTTCTATTCTTATTATATTGTCGATATTGGAGATATTAAAGTTATTACAACTTGTAGGTACCGACAATATTATTTGATATAAGTTTTATGGCAACTATCTTCGTTTGCAAGAAACCTATAAATGCAGATTAATTTATTAATTATTAGAAATTGAATCTTGCTAAAAATAAATGTCAAAGAAATTTATTAGGTGTTAAATTGTGTTAATTTATAATAACTATTAAATATTTAATAATTATATTATAATTTTGTTAAAGATATTAAAATTTATAAAATTTGTTTAAATGAAATTATAAAGATTTATTTTTTTGATTAATTAAAATTCATTTTGTATCTATTACAAATAAAAATATATAAAAAATAAAGCTTGACTGATTGAAAGCGCGGTGAAAATTTATTATATCAGAAATGAATACTCAAATTGAATAAAGTCTTTTTTATTTGAGCGTTTCCACTCTCTTTGGAGTCTTTCTCAGCAATATAGATATTAGAAAAAAAATTGAAAGCTCACATATTCATAACAATTAAATCACTTATAAATGGCTAAAATTGAAATATATTGTAACTTGATAATTAAAAAATGTGTCGTTAGAATGGAAATTACAATAAATGATAAAATTCAAGTGTGGACTCATTCTAATAGATTTCTCTGTAGAGGACGTGTTATAAAGCTTTGTTATATATATAATTATCAACAATTTGTAAAATAATTTGTGTGTTGGACTAAAAAATTTTTTGAACTAATGATAGTATCTAAATCGTATATGACATGTCGTTCGAGTTGAACATTTATTAAATCAAAAAAAGGTAGCGCAGTAAACAGTGTGTAGACATTAAACATATAATAAGAAAATGTGTGAGCCAACATATAAATATGTTCCAAAATTAATTATCTGTTGTCCCTTAATAATAATAAGTTATAAATAAAATTTAAAAAAACAATAATAATAATGAAAAGGAAAACGAAAGGAAATTAAGTGTTAATAAATAAAAATATAAATAATATACAATACACACATATTAGCTACGAAAAATTTTGTAACATTGCTGCATGAGCATGATGCAGTCTCTCGGTATCTTTGCATAAACGCAATTTCAGAAATCAGCCATTTATTTAAAATTGTTTCCTTTTGTTTTTAATTGTTACTGTTTTTATTTTATAAAGTAATAAAAATTTAATTGCTTATTATTGAGTTTGATAAAATCTTTAATCAATTATTCGACGTATTTTGAAATTATATTTTTGATATTCTCATTTTTATAAATTATTTAAAGTACATATGTTTATTACTCATATATTTGTAAGTATTTTCAATATATATTTTAATAGTTTGTTAAATAAGTTATAATCATCGCAGCAACCTATTCTAATATTGAAAAAATTTTTATAATTAACTGAATTTTTGTAATATTTTCTAATCGTCGATTGATTGCGTTACTGACAGTTTTCCAGAACAGGAATTTGAAGGTAAATGCTTGAATACTGAATGAAGAAGGTAGGAAGAGTGAAGAGAGATTAATTAAATTATATTCTTCAAAATTGATAGTGGCGGTAGACATTATAAACTACCACAGTGTGATATAATATACGTTTTTTTAAAACGCTCTATTAAATATTAAAATTAAGACTGGCTGATAATTAAAGTTGTCAATTATAATTTGAATTATAATGTTTAACCTAATAAATATATAAAAATGACATATTGCACATTGATCATAACGTCGATTTACAATCACTTGATTCGACGACGATGACGTCATTTTTCACGTACGTTTTATTTAAAGTATTATACATATACTCGCCAATATACATGTTCAATTAAACACTTTAAACTAGCAATCTAAACAAGTTTGTAGAAATAAACATTCTCAACAATAAATTGTTTGACCTCGAACACGAATTATATGTATTCTAATTTTACTAAAACCTAGCAACGTAAGTGCCATATACTACGGATAAATTGGAAATGTGAGCAACAAACGCACTGTACTCAGACAATATAATATGCAGAAATATTACATATATTATAAACGTCACATATCTGTTCATATTCAACATTTTTATTGACTCGTGGCAATTAATTAGGAGTTTCTCGCACTACTTCCTAGTTAATAGACAGTTTATTCATAAAAATGTGTAAAATAATTAAAATAATAGAATAAAAAGATTACAATATCTTACGCCATCATATCTATAAATTATTATTAATTTTATATGTTACTGAATATTTTTTAAAATATTTTATAAAAGTTATAAGATGTTGATTTAATGTACACGCATCGTCCATTACATATATTCCCGCTTTTTTCATTGAAGAATATAAACTTTTTTTTAACTATATGATTAGTCTAAATGAGTAACATTACGAAAACAAACTTAAGTATTTACTTTATAATTATAACGATTTTTAAATTGCTATCTTACACACAAGTGTTTAAAAGAGAATGCAAGAATATTGATATTCTGCTATTACAGAATAAAAGTTATGCCTTTAACTTGTGTAACGTAAAATTCTATACGTTTAGAATTAAATATCTTTAAAATAGTTAACAAAATCAAGTGTAATTTTCTTACGAACTCTCTATATTTAATAAACCATAAAATATGTATCCGAGGATCAGGCAATTCAGAGTCAAACGTGATTCTTTGTACGTAATTATCTATTTATTCTTTAAAAGTGTTGAACGTTTCGACTTTGCTTTGGAGTCATCTTCAGTATAAATAATTTCAATACTCCTCCGAATGTTTGAGACGAGGTTACTATCAAATTCGCAAATCTAATGTACGATCTCAAACATCAAAGAAAAGTCATTTCACAATTATTTCGATCAAAATTCACAAATTTATAACTTTAAAAACTATTTTACATCATTCTGATAAAATAGTACAAGTTATCTCATACGAGACTTAAACATAACTGATCAGAATGGAAGACTGCAATTAAACCGCAATTTTTAAAATTGGCTCAATTTTATCTTTCAAAGTAAGATTACACTCCAAGTAATTTAGAAAATATAGGAACAACGGCGTAGTTCGTAACTAATGCAGAACGTGACCTTTGTTACTCACAATCAATATACTGCCAATCATAGTGTACAATTTTGTTTATAGAACGGGTGAACGTAAATTGTTAAATTGTTAAATAAAGACCAATCCCTCGATGAGCAAGCGGTATTATTTTGAAAAATATCAACAAAAATGTGTTGCAATCTTTCTGTGATTGGCTATTTGCCAATACTGATTTGTATTCTTCTATTCTTGTATATGGAAAAAAATAACTTGACAATAGCAGCTAAATTTTAATAGCATAATCAAACTTAACTGTAAGAGCTACCGTCTTATTGTCATTGCTAAGTTTTTAGCTAGTACAGACAAAAAATATTCACTGTGGCATGAAGTTTTATTAACTGAAGTTAAAAGCGTTATTATGATAGCAAGCATCTAAAAACATGTTAGACGTACCTAAATTTCAAATACTTTTTACCCATGCACATACATTACGGAAAATGCTTCATCAGATGTTTCTAGCAGCACAAATTTTTTACCACAATATGTAAGTACAAATGGCTAATAAATTTAGCTTGGGCACCATCAGCATTAACTGCTCCTATTTTAAAGACAATTTTAGTTATTATAGCTTGTATATTAGCTTCTATGCTAATCATTTATTTTCGTGTATAATCTTGCGCTTATAAATTCTTTGTATTATAGTTCATTGTTTTGGCTTTTTCTGGTTATCTCTCATTACACTGGGATTTTTAAAAAATACAATAGCTACTTGTGAATATTGTTTTTGGAGAGAGAGTAAATTTTCTTAGACAGATAATTTTGCTTCCACTAATCAGGATTAAGCAGTATATTTGAAATACTTTTATTTAAAACACTGTTTTTGCAATAAAAGTGTATATTATGTTTTACATTTCAGTGGTACATATAATAGTATTATGTATCTTGTAATTAAAATTGAAAGTTATGTGTATTTCGGAATTTAAATAATAATATAATTGTCAATATTAAAGTATTTGAAATACAAAACACAAAATATTATTTTTAATCTTTATAGTTATTGATATTGAAATACAAATGTTTTTATATACTCCTGTGAAGTATAAAATACCAAACATTTTCATGTCCTCAGCTAAAATACAAAATATGAGATACAATTGTCCTGCAAATATCGTTTTTTAAATGAAAGTATTTCAAATATATGCCCAGCCCTGCCAACACTATGATAAGCATAAGTATCAAGGAAATAAGTTTTATATCTAAGTAAATTTTTTATGTGTACTACAATTTTTATTACTTACCAATGTATATATATACATTCTCAGCAATAAGTTGTTTGATCTCCGTATGCGAACGTTTTCTGATTTTATTGAAGTCTAACAATATAAATATTAATTATCACATATATGGTGAATAAATTAAAATAAACGTGATCAAGGAACGTGCTAAGCTTAGACAATACAATAATATATGCAAAAATGTTACATAAACGTCACGTATATATTATATATGTGAATGGTATAATAAATACGAATGAGGCTTTTTCTTGCGGATCAACGTTAATAAATGCACTTCTACTGAATAGCAAAGAGGAGGGGGAAGATCTGATGACGTTTAACATTTTTGTGAATTCTTGGCAGCTTTTTTCTTCCAGTCGTTGCAGTACACAAACTTGTTCGAATCAATGTCGTTTCGCAAGGTCATGGTCCAAGGTTTCTACGAACGAAGTTATAAAGGTCGTCGAAATTTTGGATAAATCTCGGGCATAGCGATGCAAGTTTGCAACTGTTTAATCATGACGCTGTGCTTGTCTCAACGCCAAGATATTATGTCTTCAGATGGTACCATATACAAAAATATTCTATTATTTAGCGGTTCCATGTTAATGTTAGAGAATTTTCCATTTGTATACTATCCTAAAAGGATACTTTACAAAGTAAAGGAATTTCATATAACTACAAAGTGTTGAATGTAGAATCGTAATCTTCTTAATGTTAAGAGAATCTTGCATATATTGACACTTATAGCTACAGTAGCGTGTAATTGACAAACTTCTAACAGCAAGCGTGCCGCTAGTATCTTGTATATCCTTTTGTTTCAAAAGGTTGTGTTTCTGTAAGTTATTTATAATAGAATTTTCTATAGAGAAATTTATTTTTAATCATAGCTCATGTATCCCTATTTTTATAGATGAATACGAGTACGTGTTATAAATACATGCGCTTGATTCATGTAAGATTTTTTGCTTACAGGAAATGCTAAGAGAAATGCCCGCTTATTGGTGGAATATTTTTTTAGGTATTGAAGTCAAGGTGAACAAATAATAAATATAATTTTTACATTCTCATAAAAGAAATTGTGGTAGCTTGGTCCATTCGGGAATGAAACATAAATCCATTGGAGGACAAAAGAACCGGATAAACACATGCGTACGTATACGTGTATGAGTGTATATGCAGCTAACCTGCATATCGTGTCGAGAATAGTACGTGATTTCAGATATGTAAAACTCGGAAGGGCTTCGTTTATCTACTAAAATGATTGCCTACGAAGTTATATAAAATAATAAATACTATAATAAATATCTCTCTCTCTCTCTCTCTCTCTCTCTCTCTCTCTCTCTCTCTTTTATTTTTTCTTATTTAAAGTACATAGTTTAAATAAAATTATTTTAAATACAAAATCGACTCCTAATTGATACGATTTATTTAAAAAACATTGTTACAAGGGTTTGTGAGATCGTATCGCGAGTCCGTGCGTATGCGCATTCCAAAAGTGCGAGAAAAAAGAGACGCTTTAATGTCACACACACAAATACTATACAGCGACTATAATGACAATACTGGGGAAGTATATGGATCTCACTTTAACGCACGTTGCCAGCTCCGCCCAAAGTCTTTCACTTCTCTGCAGAACAACCCAAGGAAACCCACACAATTCTCCAAGGAAATCCGCACGTCTTCATGTTGCTAACAGATCCAACGCGTGAAGAATTAGTAAATGCGGCACGGTCACAACACAATATAATAAAATCAGTTATTTAAACTAATGAATATCAGTTAACACTTTGATTTTTTATATTTAAAATATATATATTTTAAATAACTTTATTTTGAGTACAACCGAACCCTGCATGTGAATAATAAAGGATTAAAATAGCGATTAATCATTAAATAACTGAAAACGTTTTAAATGTTTACAGACTTATTTAATATTAAATTTAAATACGAATGTGCATATTATTGATATTGGAGATTCTAAAGTTATTACAACTTGTAAATGTCAACAATATTATTTGATACAAGTTTTAGTGTATCTCAAGTGTACATTACAAAGAAACGCCGAGATGGCTCGCTGCTTGCGATGCAATTGATTCGCAATCTGTAGATCCGAGTTCAATTTCACCTGCACCCACATATTCGCGAGGAGCCGTAAATGGCTCCATTTGGTGATTAAGAAGGTGCCGACGACAATTGAATTTGATCGAGATCGATAGTATAGACTTTTTAAATTCCAAATTCGATAATAGTGATATCTCTCACTCATTTCTTATATTACTTATATATCGTTGTGTCTCACTCAACGCATTTATCTTATCTAATATATTACAACGCTACCTCTTGTAAGATCGAACACCTACACTGCTATAATTTAATAAATCACCACCAAATTTCATGTGAACTTCGGTTTCGGATGATAAGAATTAAAAGTACGTATCAAAGATTTTGTTTATATGAGAAAAAGGATTAGAACAACATCGTCAACATTAATATACAAAATGTTTTTGCAAAATGTCAATAATATAATGAGAATAGGAATGAGAAATTCGTTTCCTTCATATGCTTAGTATATTGTTAGTGGAAGCAAGAATAACTTTTTGTAAAAACTTAGCATTCTTTTCAAAAGCAACAAAGTTGTGGCTTCCACATATAAGTTATGTGCACGCTACAATTAATTATTGCAATGTATGTTGCAATGGCTGATATCTAAAATATATACTGTAGTTAAAATACAGGTAGTTAAACTTGTTCGACTATATTAATTAGATATCACAACTAAGACATTTGCAGTCTATAATTTACACCTGCAATTTAGTTATCATATGCAATTTTAGCTACGGTAGCTACTTTCTTATTTCCGTATATTACATGCGTATTATTGACTTATCTTTTATTTCATT